CCTGGATTCCGTGGTCGTTAACACGCCGCTGACGTCCGTATTCCCGGCAGCCAGCACGCCAGTCTCCAATCGCCGATCTGTACAGAGTGATGGTTCCACTCTCATGACCGAGCTGGTCAAAGTTTACCGCCGCCTTCGCGATACTGTACGGTCTAATAACTTTGAGACTCGCCACGACAGGCTCAATATCGAACTGCGAGAAAAGAACGAGCTCTGCCACAGCGATGTCCTGGCTAAATTAGTCGGGTACTCCACATCGGCTGCGGAGATCCAGCAGCGTGGTACCGAAGCTCAGTATGGTATGACACTGCTGGAGAAGATCCCCGAGCAGAGTCTGACGCACCTCCGCATCTTGGCTGAGACGGCCACTGCGTACCGGGCTGTCGGTGGTCTCAAGGCTGGCGGAGACAACTGGATCGACGAAGAGTTCCGTCTGGATGGCGAACGGCAACACGTTCAACTATTCGTCTCCCAGTACTTTGGGCAGGAGACGGAACACGTTAGGCGTCCCATCGACATCTATCCGCCGTTACTTGGCCAGGACGCCTTCATCTTCCTCACCGAGTGTGTGTTTGGCGTCATTCCGGCGCAGAACTTTGATGTCACCCATATCCTGAGACTTTGTTATCTTGCGGAGATTGTCAAGATTGTCTACCATATGGGACGCAACATCCCGGTGTCTACTTGGGTGAACCATCTTCTCAACAGGGAGACGCAAGATCCGGCACTTAAGAACTTTGCTGAATTCTGTCTCGCAATCACCAAGACTGGCATGGAGATCAACGTATCCCACCATGAGATGCCGGCGGATCTTGGCGAGAACAAGGGCTTCGGACAACCGGAACTGGACAACCTCGAGGGCTACTACACGTTCGTCAAGAAGTACGCTCTGACTTTCCTGAGGAAGAGCGTCATTCTTCTCTACATCAAGTACGGCGTAGACTTCAACAGCCACGTTTCTCCTCAGCCAGACGCGGACGAGCTAGACCGCCTCACTGAAGTACTTCGGGTACCAACGTTTGACGAGATGTGTGCCGCCATCACCGACCACGGTCCCGATTGCGGTTGGCCTGCTTCGACGACGAGTCTAGTCAAGGGATGGATCAGACACCAAATTATGTGGCCAGGCGACGCCGATCGTAAGCTCCCCAAGTCCGCGCTCATCAGTCACCCTGGCATTTTCGAGCTGGTGGGTCTGCCGAAGAACTACGATGCTCTCATCGAGGAAGCTACTCGACGTAAGTGTCCGACGACAGGAAAGGACGTCTCGGATCCCATGATTTGCTTGCTCTGTGGAGAGGTCTTTTGCGGCCAAGCAGTCTGCTGTCTTAGGGAGGAGACGGCGTCTGGCGACCGTGAGCCGCAGAGAATTGGCGGATCGCAGCAACACATGCGAAAGTAAGTCTTCATGATAAGTGGGTGAAATCACGCCCGTGCTGACCTCCCCGTGCTCTAGGTGTCAGGGCAACATCGGCCTCTTCCTCAACATTCGCAAGTGCTGCATCTTTTACTTGTTCAGGTTATCAGGGTCCTTTAGCAGCGCGCCCTACATTGATAAGTACGGTGAGACGGACCTGGGTCTACGCCACGGCCGCCAGCTTTTCTTGAACCAGAAACGCTACGACTCGATGCTGCGTACCACGTTCCTCAGTCACGGAATTCCGAGCTATATTAGTCGTAAGCTCGAGGCGGAGATTAACAATGGTGGATGGGAGACGATTTGAGGTTTCGTCGAGTGGGCTGAACTCTCGGAGGAAATGAGTGCCACGCATAAAGAGAGACAGTGAATGTGGGGGAGGAAATTGGCGGGCAGGAACACATATTCTTTACGAATTGGGGGCGGGAAGCAAAGAATAGACATGACATGCATCTTGGACCCTTTTGTTATCTTCTCATCGCTAGAGACACATAGCAACTTTTGGGTGCTGGCGGCAGGGAGGCAAACGTCGGAGTTTCGACAGGTTGGCAAAGAGAGTTTGAATTTCAACATAAGCAGAAAAAACGACATTCTGCACAGAAAAGATTCGCTCGAGTTTTATGCTCGGCACCGATGTCTGCCTGTTGAGAAATTTAGGACGGTTATCCATGTGTCTTGGTATCATATTCAGGCCATCACCTATACTCGAGATGACTCTGTTTTCTCCTCCCCTCGATGTACATTCATATATCTGGCCCCCCTTCCGTGTAATATTCTATCACACGCCAGCCATATCGATATCTTCTTCCTGCTTTATCGGCGGTTCCGTGCCATTTACATTGGCGACTTCATCTCCTCCGACCTCCTCACCAATCGCGTGACCATTCGTCAGCGTCTTCTCCGCCCCATCGGTTTCCGTACCGGCAATAGCGGCGGCGGCAGCGGCCACGGCACCAATCTCCCCTTCACCCCACAACCTCTTAAAGATGCGTATCCGTCCATCCTGCCCCGCCGACACCATGACGTCCCCATAGACATCGACCCAGAAACACACGTTGCCACCCTTGCCGCCTCCCCGGTGCGAAGAAGAATCCTTCTTATGGGCGGGGATGCGCTGAACAACCTCTTTAGTTACGACGTCCCACAGCACGATCTCGCCGTCCTCGCTGGCCGAGGCGATGAAGGCGCCCTCGCCGGGGACGAGGCCGAAGCAGCCGCCGATGGCGAAGCGGTTGTTGGCGTGGCCTTGGTACGTCTTTTTCACGGAGCCGGCAACGTAGTCCCAGAGGCGGATGCTGTTGTCGAGGTTAAAGGCAAGGACGAAGCGGCCGTTGGGTGCGAAGCAGACGGACGTTACGGCGGGGTTGTCTTCGTGGACTAGGGTGCGGAGGCACTGGCCTGTGTAAGTGTCCCATATGCGACTGTTGTTCGGGGTTAGTAAAGGATCCCAACCAAGTAGAGACGGGGGTAGTCTTGGTCATACGTACATGAGACCGTCCGTCGAACAACTCACGACCAACGTGCCGTCGCATGAAAAGTCGATGCCGCTGACCGGGTCGCTGTGCGCCGGTAAACTACGCATCAAGCGGCCCGCCCTGACATCCCACAAAAAGACGGCCTCGTCGTACGATCCCGAGGCGAGTATGTTTCCCTTGGGCGAGAAGGCGAGACACATCACGTAGTTGTGGTGTCCCCGCAGCGGCAACATGGGATGCGCGGCGGGCGCCGCGTCGTCCTTGGCCATGTGACCCACGCCCTTTGCCGTGACCTTTGGCCGGCCCGTCACCCGGTCCCAGATGCGAATCGACTTGTCGTCGGAGCCCGTCGCCAGGCTCCCGCTGTTGGGGCTCCACGCCACGCAGTTCACGCCGGCCATGTGGCCCACCAGGGTGTCCATGTGCTCCCCCGTGGCCGCGTCCCACGTCTTGACGGTCCCGTCGGCCGAGGCGCTCGCGATCCACCGGCCGTCGGGCGATATCCGCACCTGCGAGACGGGCGCTCCCGCGTGTCCGCTCAGCACCCTTTCCTCCTCGTACCGCGGCCTCACGGGGCCCTTCTTCACGGGCCCGGGTGTCACGGGCGTCGTCACTGTCGCGCCGGTATCTGCGCCGCCGTTGGTCGAGGAGAGCCGTAGCCTGCGGTCGACGGCGCCTGAGAGACTGCCGCCCGATGTAGAAGCAGGCGACCTTGATCCCGCGCGTGACTCATCCTCGTCATCGTCGTCGTCGTCGCTACGTGAGCGGGAGGGTGAGGCGGTCGCTGACCTTGGTGTGCGCGATCGCGACCGCGACCTCGAGTGCGACCGTGATCGAGATTTGGAGTGCGATGAGCGTGAGTAGAATGCCGCCTCGTTGAGCTCATCCTCGCTAGGAGACCTGCTAGGTGTCATGCTAGGACGGCCACGGTTGGTTGACAGGCGGCGGGATGTGCTGGACCGCTGCTTCTTCGTTCTCGTTGTCGTCGCGGTGGTTTTCTTGGCGGCTGCGGCTGCCGTGGTGGTCGTAACTGTCGTGTCGTTGAGCTCATCTGGTGAACTTGATCGCGGTGTCGCGGATGTGCTGTGTGCGACGACTTTGCGACGTTTTGGAGGGGGTTCGGGAAGAGGCGTCGCTGCTGCTGAGGAGCCGACGTCTGACATTTTTTCGCGTTATGTTTGGGTATGGACGCACGAGTATATGAGACGGACTACCAGCTCCCTTTTGTGTTGGTCAAGGAGGCTGTTCATTCGATGGCGGGCGGGGTGGTGGGAAATAAGAACAATCGATGCCCAGGAAAGTCAAAGGCAAGGCTGAATGACAGGACGGCAATAATGATCAGCAACTTTTGGCGCGTTGAAAAGAAGCAGGGGTTGCTTGACTGACGTTTAGCGGTTGCTTTTCAGCCTCGTCCCCACCGCACAGGTCATTCTGGGGTCAAGCTCTCCCCCTGATGGTGTGTGGGACCACTAAGATAAGAATCCGCTGCTGCCCATTTTCGTACCGATTGGCCAATGGCAGAGTGTATGGAGCCTCGTCCGGCCAAGCATCTGTAAGAGTGGGTCGTTCTCCCGTTGACAACCCCCGGCCTGCCGGCAAACGCAAACGGGACGGCTCCAGGAAGTCGAGAAAGGGAAAAAAAGAAAACCGAACGCAACGTCACCAAAAGTCCAAGCGTCCGTTGTAGTGACCTTTTCATCCCATCTCGCAAGAGCCCCGCGATCCGACCTCACCTTTGACGGTAATGCGACTTCATTCTCACATTTTTTTGCAAATGCCAAAGCGCCAGCCCAGTTAACTACCTATTACTACAACCACTGTAGAGTTTGAATCCTGCTCTCACACTCCACTTCGGAAGCTTCGGCGTAATCACCTACAACTGCCGACCTATCTTGTTGCAGCTCGCTGTCGTCTTACACGCGTTCGACGCTTCTCTTGATCCAATATCTCTTCCCGATTCAAGCCATCTTATTCTTTGCCTTTTTCCGCATTCTCCTCAGTGGTCTTCCTACTTCTTCTCCCACATCTTCCCCCATCTCTATAAAACATAATCTCCAGATTCTTCACCTCGTCATCTCAAGACAGCCAACAACATAAACCAACACAATATGGACGACCCTCTCCCAAAGGACCTCCGCCTACTAACACTCAACTGCTGGGGCCTGAAATACATCTCCAAGCTCCGCCCGCAGCGCCTCGCAGAAATCGGCCGCCGCATCGCCGCCCTCCCGGACCCGCCCCACGTCGTCGCTCTCCAAGAGTGCTGGGTCACCTCCGACTACGACGCCATCCGCGCCGAGACCGCCGCCGTCCTGCCCCACGGCAAGTTCTACTACTCGGGCCCCTTTGGCGGCGGCCTCGCCGTCCTATCCCGCTGGCCCATCGACGAGAGCTCCATGCGCGCGTACCCCCTCAACGGCAGACCCACGGCCTTTTGGCGAGGCGACTGGTACGTCGGCAAGGGCATCGCCTGCGCCCGCATCCCCGTCCGCCTCGCCGGCGCAGACGGCGGCCCCGGCAGAGACCACGCCCTGAGCATCTTCAACACCCACACACACGCGCCCTACACCGAAAACCAACCGGGCGACACCTACCTCGCCCACCGCCTCGCCCAGTCCTGGGAAATGTCCAAACTCCTCCGCGCCGCAACCCAGCGCGGCGACCTCGCCCTCGCCATGGGCGACTTCAACATGCGACCCCTATCCCTCCCGCACCGCATCATCACAGCCCACGCACCCGTCCACGACGTCTGGCGCGTCCTCCACCCAGACTCGTCTCTCGGCGCCGCAGACGATCCCTTGGAAAAAGCCCGCGGTAGACCCGTTCCCTCGGCTGACTTCAATCTGCGTGAAAACGGCGCCACCTCGGACCACGTCTACAACACCTGGCGCTGGTCCAAGGAGCAGCAGAAGAAACTCGGCGAGGGGAAAGAACCCGTCGTCATACCGCCAGACACGCCCGACAGAAAAGGGAAACGCCTGGATTACATCTTCTTCGGTTCCGGTAGAGGAGGAGGAGGTGGTGGTGGCGGTGACGACGGCGGCAGCGACTGGGTCGTCCGCAGCGCCAAAGTCGGCATGGTCGAGCCGCATCCCACCCTCGGCTGCTCCCTAAGCGACCACTTCGCCGTCGAGGCAACACTGGCATACCAGACACCACACCATCGCCGCCAAGGCCTCGACGCAACGGAAAACGATAACGAGACGTCCTACCTCCAGGACGCCTCAGCCAGCTCCCACCGCGACTCCTTCACGTCCGAGAACCCCCCTATCTCCGAAGTGCCAGGCAAAGGTCTTCCGGTGCCAGTCTACGACGAGATTCTCTCTGTGACACGTCAGTACATCCACCGGGAAGAGAATCAACGGCGCTGGCGGGGGTTACACTTTTTGGCATGGTTTGCCGTCCTGATAGCGTGCCTTATAGCTGTGTGGTTCAGCCCACACAACTTTGTTGCCTTTGTTCTCATGCTCCTGAGCAGTCTCGGACTGGTTGCTGGTGTTGTTGACGGTCTCATGTCACTCCTCTTCTTCAACTCAGAACTCAGAGCCTTGAAGGAGTTTGAATGGGAAATCACAAACGCCAAAAGGCATGCGCGAGGTTCTATTTCAGAGGAGACAGTAAAGAGAGAAAAGTCTTTCTAAGAACCCGAATGACGATTGTCCTGCCTAGTATAATGATACCCCAGACTCTAGGCTTAGTTGACGGTGCCTCCACAGCATGTTACACGCACCAGAGGAGAGGCTGATATGTAATGAAGAATAATGTCTATTCATACTTGGCGTTGCTCTTTCCTTCTCATAATGGCGCAACACACCTTGTACGTGTAACCAGCCCATACTTACATCAGTAGCTGCTTCAATCTTGCCCCTCTGCCCAACGTCGCCTCGACTGACAACGCATTCCTCCCCTTGATCAAGAATTTGTAGGGTGGACTGTTCCAACAGGCCTGCGACTGGCCATGTCTTTGCGTCGCCACGAATAACCTAGAAAAGCTGTTCGCTTCCTCATCTGAAGAACTTCCTCCTTGACCCAACGGTCCCGCAGTAACTTGTCTCTTGGGCGCTTGCAATCTTTTCGTCCGACTCTTCTGACGTACCATTTGAGAAAGGCCTTTTCAACATCTTCCAGAAAGGCATGATCGTCAATATCGCGATCGAATCGTTTCAACTTGGATGAATCGTAGGGTTTGGAGATGAAGTCAGTGGCCAGACACCTCACATCGTCTTCAAAGTCGTACTGTAGAAACCTTAGACGGAGATCGTCCAGGTTCTCCGACCCCTCCGCTATCTCGGAATCCATTGAGTCAGACCAGTCGCTGATCGGCTCATCTTCTTCAAAGTAGTGAGAGTCGGCGTAGCTTTGAATATGTGGTATCCACTCTGGCCGACTGGAGCGTATTGCTTCCCAAGGAACGCCCCGAAACCACGGGTGGGCCTTGATCTCGGATGCGTCGTTATTGAAAACGTATTGACTCGGTATTTTCTTGTAGCCCTGAAGCTTCTCCCAACTTCGTCGAGCATCTTGGTTGCGATACTCGGGTGATGAGAGACGGCTGTCTTTGTCCTGAAGCAGATCGTTGATCAATTGCCGGCATACTCTCGAGACTGGAGGTCCGTCAATAGGAAACACCAAGCTTTTCCGATATTCCTGCTCTCAAAATCAGAGAAATCTACAATGGGAAGTTCTGTCCAAACTTACGAGGATGTTCTGCTTGGTATAGTGACGACCCTTTTCCGAGAGAAACGGCGTGTGCCCATATAGGCACTCGTAAAGGATGATTCCGATACTCCACTAGTCGCATCTACCATCATACTTCTCTCCCATGACCACCTCTGGAGCCATATACTGGCTTGTGCCAACAATGGAGCGGGCCGAGGATCGGCGTGTCTCTGCTGTTCGCCAACCAAGCAGCTGGTCGACTTTTACAATCTCGTCTGCGTTTGTTTCGACGACATTGAACGGACATTCAAGCCCATCAAACTTGGTTCGGAGCAATTCTGACGGGGGATAGTGCTTGGATGACCCTTCCCGAGATGATCGTCGCCTCGCCCGTCCACCATCGCGGGCGGCTTTTTGATCCTCGCCATCACCGTCTAGCGTAACACCTGTCAGGGCCAGAATTGACTTTCGCTGCCACTTGTAGTAGGAGGTGTCATGGGACCAATGGTCGTCAAAAGCCAGCCCGAAATCCGAGATTTTCAGGTGACCGTCGGCACCGATGAGGAAGTTGTCTGGTTTGACATCTCGGTGGATGCATCCAAGTCTATGGGCCTCTTCGACGCAAAGTATCATCTCGGCGATGTAGAATCGAGTTCTGGACTCGGTCAAGATGTTTTCGCGAATCAGAAGACCAAGAAAGTCTCCCCCCGGCATGTAGTCCATTAGGAGGTAAAGATTCACTGGATCCTGGAAACTGGATATCAGGGGCACCACCCTAGCCCCGGTTAGCATGGAAGAACAGCGTTGCCCAGCACATCGAGAGGACTTTGCTCACCATTCTGAATTCTCAGAAGCCGCCAAGAAATCTCTTTCCGCTCGCAAGTGCCCTTCTTGGCAGCTTCGAATCATGTCAGACTTCCGAATGACCTTCATAGCAAATACCTGTCGTCGGCATCGGTCCCATACAAGCTTGACAACCCCGAAGCTCCCTTTTCCGAGGATTTGCAGGGTCTCGAGGTTTTCCAAGTCCGATCCTCGCCTCATTTCAGCGCTAGACGTTGTTGACTATGCAACTCTGCAGCTGTGAGTTTTGGCGTTTCTTTGCTCGCGGAGGAAATTGGTCTCCATTGCAAAGAAGAGCCTCCAGTAATAGTCTCTCTCACTGGGGCCGAGGTGACCTCCATACTGATCCAGATTTCGTTGGTGCTCGGCGATACGCTGTTCACGTGGTGTGGGACGACTACTCAAAGCATCCTCGAAGTAAGTCTCCAGGTAGATTCTGGCTGCTGCTGCCTTTTCGACCGTGTGGACCCTTTGTTTATCAGAGAGTTGGTTCCAATCTAGTCGTCCCCAGGGTGTGTACTGGGGCGCCGAAGAAAGCTCAAGTTCCAAGTCAGGTGGCGGATTTGGGGCGGCTGGCTCAAGAGGGTGGTTTGTGACGGGCTGGGCAATTGGGTATCGCAGAGGGCGGGACTGTATTGCCTTGTGAGTGGGCTTCCCCCTTATGTCCATGAACCTGTGAATGAAGTTCCTGGTTCTGGTGGACCTAGCACTGCCCGAGGACTGTAGGTCTGCTTTGTGTGTTAGCTGGTGATGGTTGGCCTTTTAGTCAGCCTCTACCCACGTTGATGATGGCGGTATCTTCCCTTGAACAAATGGGTTAGTGGGGTCGCCTGAAGATGAGGACGGGGATTCCAAAGAGTGTGCTGTGCCTGGCCGTCGACTTCTGGACTGAGGTCTATTGGGAGTGTGTGGTTGGGGTCTATGGCTGTTGCCGTGAGGGTCGGATTTGAACGTGCGACGATGCTGCTGCGGAGAACTTGTTGATGCATGATGTTTACTAGTGATGGATAAATTAATTGAAGAGGTAATGAGACCTGCTGGCATAACGACTTGTGATAAATGCGGGGTCCAAAAGAGAGGCGGACGAGCAGTCCGGCTATGATGGTGTTTGGCCTGGTGGCATGTCGTCTGAGAAGATGTAGGCAGATTAGGAACGAGGATATGGATCGTTGTCCTCGGCCAACGGTTGCATTGAGGAGGGACTTGCCAAAAGCAGCTGGACCACCTTGGCCGTTTCAATTGATCGACAATGGGCAAGTGAGCTTCATTCAGGATAGTCACCGGCGAGGAGGCAGGTAAGTACGCTGTAAATTGAGCTTGCCTCAGCATCTCAGGACGTCATAACAAGTTTCTAGGCACGATCGGTTGCCGAGGAGGAAGGCTCGCCGGGACATTCAAGGTAAGAAGTAAGGAGACTTTGATTTTCATAAAAGGAAACCGGAGCTAAGTACAGACCGACCGGAAGAAAACCATCCATGTCCGGTGAGAGAAATTTCCTACATCAACAGAAAACTCTTTTTGTGATACGCCAACTAATGCAGTGTAAATCCTCGCCTCGTCATCCCATCAAACACATTCTGCTTCTCGCACCCCACGAGGGGACTGCGAATCTTCGCAGATAGCCACAGGTCGGAGACTATCCATTGCGGCAACAGCGCATATATCGCGACTCAGCGAATCCCATCGCCGTCACACATCATTACGAGGGAAGGTCGGCGTCTGGAACGCCGGGGCCCAGCAGGGGCTCGCCATCTTTCCATGGCGTGCTCGCCGGGCAAAATAGGGTAGAATACAGTGAGGAGCATCCTGAATCGGCGTCTCGCCGCCAAAAGGGGGTCTTGCTAGTGAGGAAGCGACCTGTTTACTTGATCTCAAGGAGCTTAACGTCGAAGGTCAGGGTGCTCTTGGCAGGAATGCCGGGCAGGCTCTTGTTGCCGTAGGCGAGGTTGGCGGGGATGGTAAGACGACGCTCACCACCGATGGCCATGCCGATGACACCAATGTCCCAGCCCTTGATGACCTGGCCCTTGCCAGCCTTGAAGGTGAAAGGCTTGCCCTTCTTGTTGGCTAGAAATATGAGTTAGCGACACATCTAGAAGAAAGAAACATTCGAACTCGGCGCTTACCATCGAAGACCTTGCCGTCGTCGAGCTTGCCAATGTAGCGGACGCTGACGCTGTCACCGTTCTTGACAGCGCGGCCAGTACCAGGCTTGCGGTCGTCAATGGTGACTCCCTGAACGACCTTGACGCCACCCGCGGGCTTGCCAGCCTGCTTGGCCTTCTCAGCGGAGCCGGTAGGGCCCTGCTCGAGGTTCTTGGCGAACTGAACCTTCTTGTCGGACTTGGGGGTAGTCTTCTCCTCGGCGGCGACGGCCTCACCCTTGTTGTTCTTGAGCTTCTTCTTGTCCTTCTTGGAGGTCTTGGTCTCGTCGTCGGCCTTGATCAGGTCGTCGAGGCTCTCGGCAGCGCGCTTCTTGCCCTTCTTGCCAGTCTCGACCAGCTTGGGGGCCTCCTCCTCGTCGGTATCGACTTCCATGACGCGCGGGTCCTCGGTGTCGTCGAGGTCGTCGCTGTCCTCATCGGGCATGCCGTACTCGAGCTCATCGGGGGACAGGTCGTACTCGTCGTCGTCCTCATCCTCGTCGGATCCCTCCTCCTCCTCATCGTCGATAACGTAGTTACCGGTGAGGTGGACGGTGTGGGTACCAGAAACGACGAAGAAAACCTTCTCACCCTCCTGGACGGTGATGTCAAGGGGCTGCTGGTAGTTCTGCGCGGTTATTAGCAATCAAGATTTTTCCCTCTAGACTCGCACGGTCTATTCGCAACTTACGCGCTCGGTGTCGAGAGTGCAGATGACAAAGTTCTCAAGGTCAAGGCCCTCCTCGTCGTCATCGCTCTCCTCGTCATCCTCCTCATCATCAGAGGCCTTGCCCTTGCCCTTCTTGCTAGACTTTCCGTTGGGCTTGGCATCGTCCATCTCCTCGTCAGACTCCTCCTCGTTGACGGCCTCGATCAGCTTCTTAAGGGCCTCAGCCTGCTTCTGCTTCTTGGACTTGGAGGGGTCGCTGGGACCTCCGTTGGGCTCATCATCGTCATCGGACGACTCGTCGTCATCGCCATTGGCGTCAATGAGAGACTGAAGGTAGTCCTCATCGATCTCGTCATCCTCGCCGGCCTCGAGGTCGTCACCGAAGCGCTGCTTGACGAGGCGAAGGGTAGAGCGGGGGACAGCAGGAATGTTGCCATCAGCATCGGCCTCGGGAGCCTCAGAGGGATCAATGGCGGCCATGGTGATGCGGAACTGGTCAATCCCAAGGTTAGTTAACCGTGAATAAGCAGGAGTGCGCCGGCGCCCAGCGCAAGTTGCGACCTGGCCGGAGCCTGCGCTCAAGTGCCTACAGGCAAAGAAACAGGGCAGAGAGATGCACATACAGTGGCAGGGAAGTCGGGGTTTGCGGGAATGAGGATCTCGCCGGCGGGGACCTCGAGCCCGTAGAGAGCGACAGGAAGCTGGGCCATTGTGCTGAATGTGAAGATGGTATGTGAATGAGACTAGTAAAAGTTGGTGCTCTTGCACTTGATGATTGCTCTTCAAGGAGGTCGAAAAACAAAGACCGTTCGTTCTTGAAGGGATTATTTGGGGGTATGGAAAGACTAGGGAGAGGAAGAAGATGGGGTGGGATTCGAGTGTGAGAGGGAGGTTGTACAGAAAAGTCGAGGTTCTCGAAGGACTTTTGCCTGAAATTTTTTTCCACTCGACGACCAGACCAGACGGAACTTTTTTTTTCTTTTCTTTTTTTTTCTTGGTCTTGACCCCACCGCTGGCGGCGCTAGTGCTGCCTTATCCTGTCTTATCGGCCTTATCACACCATGGCAACCAAGGCGCAACGGCAGGGAAGGTGCGTCTGGGGAAGGAGCTGCATTGGACCCTTGCCCAAAAATGCCCCAAAAATGCCCAAAACGACGTCTTCACCGGCGCTTTTGTGGACGGTGAGGACCCTCCACTCGTACACCGCTTTCTGCCTGGGCTCGCTCGGTGATGATGCTGTTGACGAAGTCTGTGCTGCCTTTGAGATCCTTCGAGGTGCCTTTGTTGCGCCATCAAGGATCACCCGTTCTTACTGCATACCATATTCTGATGAGATATCAATAGCAAGTTGGTCAAAGGGTTCTCGATCATTCCGTTGGGCAAATCCGAGATCTCGTCAGTATACGGACATAGATGATTAGTATCTCTCCTGCATGTCCTGTAGACAGAACAGGTACACAATTTCTACCTTGGAAACTGCAAGTTCCTCGTCCGTCTCCCAAATCTCCGTCTTTTTCTGATATTCATCATTCGTCATCTTCGACTACCTACCTCGACTTCACAAACCAAGCCTTGACAAGCTGCCACACAAACCCCAAAGCAAACCTCGTCTGCCCCTGCTCATACATCTGGCCCCTCTCACCAACCTCCGCCATCTTACACGCAATCTCGACAATCGGCCCCGGAAAGAGGCGCCTCTCGCTGCTCCGAGCGTACGCCGCCACCAGATCGTTCCCGTTCGTGATGCCACCTGTGAAAATGCAACCATGATTTAGTAAACCAGACAGAAAGAGCAGAAAGAGAAGACAAGAAAAACATACCACAGCTCCAAAGATTACCATCCCGACACCATCGAAACTCATCCCCCACAAACCTCGCATCCGGAAACCTCTTCTTCAAAACATCCTGCAGACCCCTCGGTCCGCATACCTTCCTCCCCTCTAAAATCCCCGCGGCACCACACAAGAACGCGCCCGTACAGACACTCAGCACGTCCGTCCTCTTTCCCTTTCCTCCCTCCCCCTCCTCCTCATCAGCATGTCCCCTCAAAAACGCCAAGGTCTCCTCATCCCAGCTCGCCGCCGGATCCGGCCCGGGGACGAGCAGGATATCCAGCATGCCCGGCTGGACCTCCGGGCTGGAGACGTCGTGCGTCGGCCGGATCTTGACGCCCGCCGTCAAGGGGAGCTGAGGAGGAACAAGGTGTTCTGCTGCCTCCGGGGCCGAGTTCGAGCTACAGCTACAGCTAGAGCTGGGGCTGGTCTTTGCAGAAATGTAGTAGATTTCCACGCTTGGCGCCAAGTTCGGGATGTGTTTGGGTATCATGGGCAGACCGCCCAGGTACTCTCTCGACATCATAAACAAGACGTCTACGCAGGCCATGTCGAGGAGCTGACACTCGGACGGCATAAAGACCCCAATCTTGACCATTTCGGTACTGGTGTTTGCCATTTTGTGTGTTTTCTTCTTCTTCTTTGAGTTTTGTCGTGAAATTCTACAAGGTGGATTGAAGCAATCCCTGGATGGGGCACTGGATTCCAACAATATGTTCAATACGTCCTGGCATGGCTGTCTTGGTATCATCGTCAAGGTATCAAACCCCATCCAGCTTTATACTGAAGCCAAACAGCCTATCGACCGTCCGTCCTCCGAATGCTGCCGTCCTTTACATCGCGGTCCGAAAGCCTATCGGTATAGCCAACAACCAAGCAGAAAGACACTGGGCATCCGGTGGCTGACATTCATGGAAGCTGATTGGGTGTCGTCTCTTAACTTCCGAGAGGCTTCGGGGTTCTAGCGGCTCGTCCTCAGCGGTGCTGGTCCGTCCAAAGGATGACCGACCATTGTAAGCTGATTGGAACGGCTTCCCGTCCTTCCAGGTTGGCTACGTTCGTTCAGAATTCTCTCCTCCATGATGATCAATCCTCTTGCATCTATTAACGAGGGAGCTTTGTCCGGGTGGTTTCCTCTAAAGATGCGTGAGGGTGCTTCATGTTCATGTCTACCATACTCGCCATGATCAACTCATAACCACAAGGAACCCATGATAAGTCACCGAGAATGGGTCGCAAGCAATGTATAATTCACGTCAATTTTATCGTGGCAACGTTCTTCCTGTTAACCACGCCGTCCAACCCACGTCTTAGCGTCAATTGCCATGATCATGAATCGTTCT